ATTTGATACTAATATCGATATATTTTTGTCAAATTTTTATGATATATTCAAATTTATATTTTATTAAAAATAAAAACATCATCGTTTTTTCAAAATCACAACAAACCATATTATAACATCGACTCAAATAAATAATAGAATAAAATATTAAAATCAAGATGTATCTCGCTGCATTGCGCGAGTACCCTTCTAATAATTAAATTAAATAGCTATTAAAGCATCTTATAATTAAATGCTAATTACTATAACAGTAATAGTTATTTATTACGTTATTGTTTTTGATTTATGTTAATTAATTTCGATTCTAATTATATAATATGCATTCACCTTTATTATATTTTAGTTATCTATACTATATTATAAAACATTTGATAAAACTCTTAAAAATCATTTTTATGCATAAATTATTGTTTATTAATGCATATTCGTGTAACTAACTGCAGATAAACATAATCAAATACAAAATAAATATTAATTTTAAATATAAAAAATCTAAAATATAATCAAGATAGTCATTAAGTTCTAACATAATGTTTAATTATTATCTTTATAAAAAATTATATTATTAAACCAAAAATAAATTACTTTATTATTAAATCTAAATTAACTTATAATAAAAATTGAATTAAAAAAATTATATAAAAAACAAGAACTATTAAATAGTTAATTAATTTGAAACTATATATCGATTTATTTATTTTTTCAAAATTTTATGATATTTTCAATTTTATATTTCATTCAAAAATAAAAACATTATTCGTTTTATCAAAACCATATAAAATTATATTATATCGATAAAGACAGAATAAAAATTAAACATTAAAATGAAGATTTATCTCGCTGCATTACACGAGTATCATTTAATGTTTTGTTAATATATTCCAGTTCCGATTTTCATCATTTTTTATAAGTATTTATTATAAAATATTATCCATAATTAAAAAATTATACCAATATTTAATTAAAATATAGTACCCAATATTTTAGAACATCTAATTCTTTAAAAAGATTTAAGAATCAAAATTTAAAATCTTCATTAAAAAATTCTTCAACTTCAACGATTTTTTTTAATTTTAAATATTATAATATTAATTGTATCATTAAAATATTTTATACATTTAGGGGGTGTTTGGGATTGCTTATAAAAGCTGCTTTTTAACTTATTGTATCGGTGATAAGCTATTTTCTAGTGTTTGGATAAAGAAAAAAAAACTGCTTATATCGGTGCCAAACCGGTAATAAGCTGTTTTTGATAAGTTAATACTTCCTGACTTATGAAAAACTGCTTATTACCAGTTTATAATTTTAATCCTGTTTTATTTAACTCCGATTTGATACCAAACAAGTTAATAAGCACTTTTACAAAAAAAAAAGCATAAGTTGTTTTAAATAAGCAATCCCAAACACCCCTTTAATAAAATATTATTTTTTCTTAAACATTTAATTTACAAAATCTTATATTTGATACTAATATCGATATATTTTT